ATGTGTCATTATCGCTGTTTAAAGCTGCTTTGTTTCTTTGTTTCATGCTCACATCATCATATTGTTTCCAAAGGCAGTCGTTTATTAACCACAAGCGCCTTAGGGGTTCTCTTTCAGCTCCTGCAGAGATCTTAGAACTTTCATAATTATTTATTAATGATTTTATTCATCCTTATGCATAAAAGTAAGATCAAATATTTACCCTTTGAAGGGCATTAATAAATATAGAGCCCAGATTAATGCAGATAAGATTGTTTTTATCAACATATCTTTGGTTTGTGTCTTTCGATTTATCCCACTGTGAACACAGTATTAAAGTTAAAGGTGGAAATCTGCGCTACTTATTATGACAACTAATGCTGATCGTTAATAGCAGAAATGAATGTTGCATAATGTTTTAATGCCTCATGATTCTCTTTTGTTCAGGTGCCATGTTTCTTTAACTGTATGCTGCTGTTTGTCTGTGCTGACAGCAGACGGGTTATTTTAGGCTGCGACCACATTTATCTCCTGCTAATGTAGAGTACAGTATGTCACAACACTGAACCGCAAGAGCTCAGAGTGTTACATCATTGTCACTGCCGCACAACTACGCAGTTATGCACCTGTGAATGACATATACATTAACATAAAAAGAAGACATTATAAATAACCTTTGCTAATGCTGGAAGTAGAAGATCTTGTTCCAAATTGAGGAACATGAATACATCCCACGAGACAATGGTTGTGATCTGATATACAAGCTGAAGCTCTTTTTCCTGTGTGCAGCCGTCATTAATCTCCACTAACCTGAAGGAATACAACAGATTTGTCAATGTGGCTGCTTGTTTTTTGTGCGTGCAAGCAAACAGTTTACAGTTTACTCCTCAGAAAGTTAAACTAATGTGGAGACTGTGTAGAAATGTTTGAGATTGAGATTGAAATCTAATGTTTTCTTTACTGTTTTTTTTCACAGGAAGTGAAGGTATTGGCAGAAACCTAACCCTTATCTCTGTTCAAGGATGGTTTTTCTGAGTCAAACTTATGCTTGATGGTGAATGATCGTCACACTGAAGATGCTGGGTTCGGCACAGATTCTGATTTGTAGTCCAACGTTGGATTCACCTGCTGATGGCACCCCCACAGTGCTAGACGCATGTATCATACGCAGTGTTGGGAGTAATGCGTAACTCCACTACTTTTGCTGGTAACCAGGCATTAATTACTTTTTTTTAATTAAATATTACAATTACTCAGATTTAAATGGGCTTGTTACTTTTGTCTTAAAATAATGGACAACAGCATATTCTGCAGTTATCCAACGTTACTCAACTTTACAGCAACACAGTTCAGGCTTTAAACAATAGTGATTGTACTGTTTCTAATATAAAGTGAAGAAGAAACTTAGGTACATTTAATATACTTATTTATTAACTAACTACTGCAGTAGAGCTGGGTTACATACATCCAGCATTGTGTGGATCTTCTTCTACCGAATCCTACTGTCTAGACAGAAGTGTATCTTACAAGCAAGAATGAAAGTCGCTGCTGCCCTCTGGTGGTCGGGAGTATTAATAACTCCTATCAGTGATAATGGGTACAAGGATAGATTACATTTGACAGTTGTAACATTATCCGCGCATCAGTAAGTGAATTAAAGCAGACATTACCTTTTTTTTTTTTAAGAGCATTCCAATGATTTAGCAACGAACTCCTACACAATGTTATGTTATGTTATGTGTGTTATGCTAGTAGCGGCTAATGTAGTCCCAACTCCACACCCCAAGATATTTTAGATTTGTAGTCAGAGTCGGCTCCACAACGGGGCACAAGGGGGCAGTAACCCCCTCACTTGTATAAAAGTATGTCAATGTTTTCATTGTAAAGCCAGAATGATGTTACCTGATGTTACCTAAAATCAAGTGGGAACTCAAATTCTGAAAACAAAAAGTCTGTTATTGGATGTAGACGAGTTTAAGTTAGCTAAGCTAGCTCAATATTTTCATCCCATTTGCAGTCATGGATTTGAGAAAGTGGATGACCGGCTCAACAGCAATACGTTTGCGGCCAACGGTCACTTCGCTTGTAGTGAGTTAGTAAGGGAGAGTAACGGAATGAATGCGTGTATTTTTAGCATCTTTCCCAACCCATTCCAGTCACTAGGAGCAGCAAACCACAATGAGTAATGGCCAAAGGAGGTGCAAAGAGTATTGAAAAGTATTGAAAGCAAAGAGAACGCACTTTTTTTGTAAGTTTTTCTTAAACAGTTCTCCAGGGCACAAATGGTTTCACTTTCACAGCTACGCTGCCACCTGCCAGTAATTTGGTGCCCCCCTGCTATAAGCCTCGTGGCCCCCTTGGAAATTTGTTCTAGCTCCAACACTGCTTTAGTCTTCAACTGATGCTGACTAAAGTGACACTTGAGGACACCTCTGGAGCTACAAAAGGCTTTATACAACTGTTTTCACATATGAAGTACTACTTCTAAACGGACTTGGATGTATAAAATCGCTGGAGTTATATTTCCAGCAGTAACTGTGTGACTTCACTTTGGCAGGCTATGATAATACTTACATAAGTATCTTGAGTTACATCAGGCAACTTCTATTTTGCCTTCTCTCACACTGATTGGGAGACTGCTGCCGTGGTGAGCAGAGGGTTTGCAGTCGAGATGGCTTTGGGAAGAGTCTTTCAGCTTTAACGCTGTCTTCAGTCTCCACTGACATAAGAGACAAACACAAGCAGCCCAGAGCGACCAATCACAGCTTTTGTTGTCTCAGCGTGGTACAGTATCTCCATAGACCCAACTTGTAGTTATATTTTTGAAGAGGAGCACATTATCTAGCAGTAACTGTGCCGAAACCCATTAATGCAGAAGTACAAAGACAGCTTTGATCTCAGTTAATCTGCGTTGCTTTTGGAATATTAATGATAAATAATTCTTAATAGGCTGTGCAATGAAAACCAACATTTTACTTACCTAAGATCAGTGGAAAGATCAGCTCTGTCTTGTGATGTCAGATTTATTATGATTGTGTATTTGTGCAACCTAAGAGTCTGCAGTGACTGTGTTCAATCAGAGATAAAATGTGGGGAATGGACATCAATCTCTAAGGTCCAGAGGAATATAAATCTGCTGCAAACACACATCTGAAATGAAAAGGTTGGATTAAGACATTCTAAGAAGTCAAACTTAAAGTCAGGTGAAAAACAACAACTGTATAATCAATTTTAAATGGTAGTTTTTCTCAAATAATTCTTCAGCCTGCCTGCACATCCTGCATACAGACGTCGGGGCTGGAGACACTCCAGAGAATCAAGAAATCAATGAAAAAACTTCAAAACAACCTCCTTTTTCCTCCAACAATCAAACCACCATAGTCTAATGCGTGTGCTTAAAAATCCAAGCTCAGTTTAATGACTTGTTTTTTTATATATATATTTATATATTATTCCTACAAATACATGGTTTTCAGCACTTTGAAAAACGTTCACTTTCCTCAGTAAACCAAGAAAGCTAGAAATATCCTACAGTGAAAAAAAAAAGACAAAGACAAACCATTTTGACAAAAAAATCACAAAAAAAGACATGAAAATAACAATCGAATGAAATTAAAAAACGACATCCTGTACAAACACTATGGCCCAATAATTTAAGAAAATAGTGTCTCTAAAACGTTCATATTGCTTTGTACCTCCACTGACCGGGCAAAGCCCACCCTGTGGGACACCGGGCAGTTCAGATGGTGACCACAGAGGGCGCCAAATCCCAGATGCCGATGTCACTCCAGAGGTTATGGGGTCGAGCTGCAGCCAGTGGCATGCAGGTGTAGCAGAAGAGAAACAGTCACGGTTGTGTTGTTGTTTCATGTGTTCTCTTCTTCTCTGGTTGTTTTGGCAGTAACAATACAAATACAAGGGATGGTCACACTACTACAGTACTGCACTCCTTATGAAACCAAGGATGTTTTCACTGTTTGTTGTAGTTTTACCATTATTACTCTCTACAGCATTATTACTAGAACTATCACCATCACAGATACACAGAGTGCATCGTGTGTTTGTGTGTGTGGAGGTTTCGTCCAGCTGTGTGTGTGTGTGTATTGGTGTGTTGGAGTATCAGTGTTCAGTGCTCAGAGCTTGTCTTCTCAAAAGAGAAACTGGGAAGAGTCAATAGCTTGGGGTTGGTGTTGGGGTTTGGCGAGCCTCCGTCCTGTCCCGAACCCTCGCCAACTCCCACGTCAAAGGAGTCCTTGGAGTCACTGGAGGGCGCTCTCCTCCTCAGGCAGGTGTCCCGGCTGGGCAGAGGAGGGGGCATCCCTAATCCCCCCACCCCAATGCCCCCGAGGGCACCGAGGCCCGGGTAAAGGCCGGACTGAGGCTCCAGTCCGTCAGGGGGGTCCACGGAGATGCAGGGCGGGCTCATCTTCTTCTTGCGTCGGGGTGAGGGCAGCAAGGTCTGAGTGGGGGTCTGGCTGTGGATCTGCAGGCTGTCAGCTCGCGATACGAACCCGGAGGAGGCAGAGGCCGTGCTGCGCTGGGGGCTGGACTCCGCTGAGGAGCACACCTCGACGGAGTGGCTCCGTGGGTCGTCCAACCAGGAGTACGGGCGGGGGCGGGGCAGGAGAGCGGTGCTGCCCTGTGTGTCGGCGCTGTGGAACCTCTTCAGCTGCCTCAAACATGGACTCGGGCTTTCATGGCAGCCCGCGTAGCTGCTGTAACCCTTGTTACCGCCGTCGCCACTGTCCTCCATCATGATGCACTCACTGCCAGCCAACCCTGCACGCGTAATGAGGGACACTTCCTGATCCACCGAGGCTTCCTCCTGTTGGTGCGGCCTGGCTGGTAAGGGCGGAGGAGGCAAGGAGGAGGGAGGGGAGGAGGCGGAGGAGGCGAAGCAGTGCTGGTTGTGAAGCTGGGTGTGCACACTGCTGGAGCGCGAGGGTTTAGGGGAGGCACCTGGCGTGGCGGGGACCAGGCAGAGAGCAGGTTGCGGGTGATGATGGGAACAGGGTGAGAGAGAGTTGGAGGGGGAGGAGGAAGAAGCAGAGGGGGATGGAGGGAGGCCCAGAGAGGCCACATTCACAAGTCCTTCATTGCTCTCCACTCCGTCTGAACACAGGGCCTCCTGAGAGTCAGTAGACACTGCAACCTGGAAGACGGGGCATGTAGGGGAAATGGGGGGGGTGGCGGTGAAATATTCAGGAGCAGGGGTGAAGAGATGGAGGTAAATTATGAGGTGAGAGGAAGGTAGGGAGAGCAAGGGAGCGGAGGATCAGGGAGGATGAGAGGGGGAGACTAGTTAGTGTGAGGCGATGGGGATGAGAAGCAGCAGTTTGGGTCAAAGTTCACTGTCTGGCCAGCATATTCCCAGAGTCCTCTCTGTTCTTTTAATTCTAGGCAGAGAGGGGTTAAATTGGCATTGCAAAATTGTTCCATGAATTCAAAGATGGAAGCACAGAGGTTACACTGCATTACTCAATGGCAGAATTCCATATGAAGATTTGCCAAGAGTCATATGAGTCAACAGCTTTGGACGTTACTGGATGTGTTCTTTGGTTTTGTTTTATTAATTTATTGTGCAGTGCTTCTGTCGAGGCAGAGCCATTATTTTCTCCTCACATCTGACAGGAATTATTGTTAAAGGCCCCAGTTCACTCAAAAATAGATTATTGTTGCTACATCACTTGCATGTTTGGTCTTAACTGCGCAGAATGATGTACGTGTGAGACACTAACAGCTTGTTTTCACACTGAGCTGCTGAAGGGGGAACGTTTCTCTGGGCTCACCCTTAATCTAGAGTTTACCACGAGTACGTGTGCTCGAGCAGGGCAGGACATCACAGTCTGGAAGCCAATCTTGAAGTGTGGTGTGGAAACTTAAAACCTCCAGTGCAAAAACACAGAGAATGGAGTAAGAGACATCTGGTGTCCGGCAGTTAAACGTTCAAAATTAAAAATATTTGCATATTCATAGATCCTTGTTTTATAATGAGGTAGAAGGAGTATAAGTTATTTAAATAGTTATTAATCTGTTATATAAGTTAACTAAACTTTTTTGTTGAAAACCCATATTGGACACAAGTGACCATACTATAGTGAGTATTTTTATGTCTTAAAACATGTCTGGGGGGGGTCTTTAAAGGGTTTTGATGACTAAAATGAACTACTTGTTGTGTAATAAAATCCCCTGAAACTCTAAACATCACGATTAAGATTCTTGTGGACAATTTCCCTCCACATTTGTTGGTATAAAAGAATCATGAATGTGATAAAAAATTAATGCTTTCGAGAATCCTTCCCCTTGTTGGTATGAACTTAATATGAGTTAGTTAGTACGTATGAGGGCATTTCCAAGTTGTAACTGACGTGGATGATATTTCCAAGAAAGAAGCTCAAATATTTTTTATTTCAGATTGTTTTTCTCATTTGACTCTGGAACGCTGCTTGTTTTAGTTGTACAGAGGGACTCTGAAGCTGACACAGTGAACTCTGAGCCAGACCGCCTGACCCTTTAACCTTTGACCATTCACACAAAATCCTGCTGACTGTCAGCAGCACAGCTTTCAGTTCAATTTACAACCAAATTCTGATCAGGGTGTGAGGCCAGCAGTCAGAGGGTAAACATAACATGTAGCTACTGTAGGAGAGGAAGGGTTAGTAAGCACAATGGTTGCCAAAAACCATAAAATGTCCTCATGAACTCATGCCTTGTTCCTCATAGACCACAAACTGGGCAGAGGAAATGAATAAGTACCTGAACATATTTGTTCTGAATTAGGTCAATTAAAATATCTTGAATCCATGGAGATGAGGGAACAAGTCAAGCATGAGTTGTAGGGTACAGCAGTTTGAGAAATGTTTGGAATCATGGGGTTTTCCCTGCATGAGCCTGAACGGTGTGACTACAGAGACACCTAGTGGTCAAATATATCACAACCAGGCCAGGCCAATCACCAGCCACAGCAATACAACACCAAGTCACAAATAATGAGTGTGCGTACTGGAACAATGCTAAAAAATGATCACCCTGTCAGACTTTTTGAAGCAACGTCGAGTTAAGTGCAATAACTACTGGTACTCTGGTTAACAACTATGTACGTCTCAAGCTACTCAATAGAAAATTCACAAGTGCTCTATCACTGTGGTACTGTGTGTACAAAATGGCCAAATGCATATGGACAGCACTTGCTGTTCTCTAGCAATCCCCTGAGTTGTATAGTTTGTGGTGTAGTAAGTGCACTGCATTGTGGGTAGATTTCTCACCCTTTGTCTGGCTTGAATACATTCTATCACTCAGCTACCATATAACCCACTGATGCAATGTTACGCCTAGCTCCTGCTGCCTGTACGATATAGAAGAATGAATAGAGTCCCATTAAGGTCTCCTACAGGCAAATCCACCTGTAAGAGAGTTTTAGATGCTTTGTGGCTGATGGTTAGCAGTAGACCAATGTCTAATGAGTGATATGGGGAAAGAAGGAGGGAAGCCTGTGTGTGTGTGTGTGTGTGTGTGTGTGTGTGTGTGTGTGTGTGTGTGTGTGTGTGTGTGTGTGTGTCTATCTCTTGGAAGATGAACATGGAGTCCAGTGTTTCTGAAAGGCCCAGTGGTAGCTAAAGTCTGCTGTTTGTCGCTGTTTCAGAAACAGGAGTATCTGTGTTTGAGCAGTAGCTCAGGTCGGGCGGCTTTTGGGCCCAACTGAGCTGAGATCAGACAATGACAGATACAGTGTGGAGAATGAGACAGCAGAGAAGTTAGCAACAGATAGGAATACCAGGAAGAAGGGGAGAAAGGAGGAGGAAGAAAAGTGAGACTGTTTAGAACATGCAATGAGGAAAGAGATTTAGGAAAACTCAAAACCCATTTATCTCTCAGACGGGGTGGTATGCTGCATTCACATGGATTCAGGCAGACAGACAGCACCTTCCTCACAGTACAGGAAAAACATACACGGTCCTGCGAATGTCAGGACGGCAAAACGAAACACACATGATGATATGTTGCAACAGTGCTGCCATATCATTTACAAAAAAAATGTAATAAAATATATTGAATACAATTATTTTGTGTATATTATTTTATGTATTTTATTCAATATGAGCTACATAACACCTGGTTTTAAACTCTGGCAAGGAAGATTTTAACTTTGAACGGCAGTGCTGTCTACCTACCTCACCCAATTTTGCCATCCTGCTCGCATCCACTAACATGACATCCCTCTACTGTTTGCCTGATTCCATGTGAATGCAGCATTAGAGCCACAATTGGGGGGGATCAGATAATTGTGAGAATAAACGCAAATATTTTGAGAAAAAATCAAATCTAATGGAAAATAAGCAATATACTATGAGAATAAAGTATAAGTGGTACAAGAAAAAAGTCACTTTATTGTAAGAATAACGCTGTCATTTTATAAGCCATAACAATTAGACAATAGGATCACTATAGCAACCAAATGTCAGATGATATGTCAACAAAACTCACTGCTCAGTGACATACTTGAATCCTTTTCTGACGCCATTATCTTGTGTTTTGATATCTGCATTCTCTGGGACGTCAGCCTAGCCTGTCATTGGTTTAAATGGCTTTATCTTTAATGGTGATTATTTTATTGTCCTTAAACCTAGAATACTGAGGTATACTCATAATATTATGAATTTTCTTTGCAACAACATCTTAACCAGTGTCTAGGATTTAGTGGCATCTAGTGGTGAAGTTGCAGATTGCAACAGAACACTGCTCGCGCCTGTATCTGTTGACCTGGGAATGAGAACGGGCTGTGGAGTGTGTAGGAGAACTACAGTGGCCGCCAAAACTTGCAAAAAATGCAAAAAGGCGCTATCTAGAGCCAGTATTGGGTTTGACCCAAGGTGGGCTATTATAGAAACATGGCAGTTTAACATGGCGGACTCCATAAAGGGTGACCTGCAGCGGTAGATTAGAAATGGCAAATTTTAAGTTAACAAGAGCACAACGATGTCTATATTTAGGTGATTATACACTAATGAAAACATACCTTTGAATATCATATTCCATATCTGCCAAAAATATTATAACTTCATATCGAAACATCTTAATTTTTTCCCCCCATAGTGGCTCTTATACACTGCTGTAATTATAACCCAAAGGGTTATAGGTTTTTATTTTCACCAAACATTCAAGCAGGTGTTTCATAGATCAGCTTCTTGTCTCTACTAGAAAGAGCTTTAATCAGTAAAATCAGCCTCTGTAATGTTTGCTGTGAATAAAAACTGTTGGCCTAAATGGCACATGGTTGAGAACCACTGACACTGACAACAGCTTTCATCACAAACAGTACAGATACAGATAGGAGAAGACTGGAAAAGTTAAACTGTGTGATAGTCACCTGTCTGCGGAGTGTGCGGCTTAGTGTGTGCGCACGTCTGGGAGGGGGTAGTCGTAGTATACTCTCCGAGTCTGAGTGGCTGTGGGGGCTGATGGGTCTAAAGAGGTCTGTGGGAACAGTCAGCTGAGAAAACTCCTCCGGCTGTGAACGCACCGAGCAACTGGAGCCTGTACACGAACAAATAAGCACAGGACTGAATATGACGGGTAAATAACAACAAAACTATTGTGTTTCTTCTCAGAGGAAATCACCTGCGCCTTCCTACAGTCAACCTGCATTAAGTTCAAAATCAAGGTCTCCCATTTCTGCCCTATCATAATGAGGTGTCACAAATCTTGGATCAAAATGAATAAATAAGCTACCAGACTGTAACTGTGCTGTAGAAAACAATAAATACGGTTTTACCTGATTGGGTCCTGTGGGTGCCCCGCATGTGCTGGGACCCTTGTGTCTGTGCTAGAAGCTGTGCTGGAGCTGCAGGGCCAAAGGGCTGCATGGGGAGGTACATGTAGCTGTCGTTAGGCAGGGAGTGTGTGCGTCCCACCGTTGGTTTCCTGACGCTCAGCAGGTTGTCCTCCAGTGGCTCCCCAGGATCGAGCTGTTCTGGCTGGGGGACAGAGAGAGGAGAGTCAGGGTCCCTCTGGAGCTGGATGGATCGGGGCTACTTTTTTAACTCACACGCTTTCACATTCTAACACATTCACAGTTGATATCTTTCTAAGACACAATGTGAACAAAGAGGCAGTAGTCATCAGCATACACAGAGAACAGACAGGATCTTTGCGTTTTGGAGTTGACTGACGCAGAGCTGCCACAGATCACAGAAACAAGAAGCTGGTAGCTTGAAAATTTCCAAGCACTTTTTTTTTTTTTATTGTAAGACCCTCTGCATCTTGGGTCTGCATTTGCCCACGCAGTCATTTAACTTTTACGTAAGCCTGCCCTGTGATTGTGTGTCAGCTGGGGCAGTGTCCTGCAGCCTTGACCCATTAACAAACCGGTTCACATTCATCACAAAAGCTACTGGAGCTCCAGCACACTTTGCACCCCAGTAGCAAACACAGGACAACTCAGAGAGGAGTAAAAACTACTAGAAAGCCAGAGGACAGAAGACAGTACAAAGACAGAAGAAGACTGATAAGAAAGTATGAGAAAATACATGGACTCACATGTAAAGCACATAGGAAAAAGACAGAGGAAATTAAGGACAGAGAAAAGAGGATAGAGGTTACAGAGAGAGAATAAAGAAAAATAAGAGATAAGAGTAGAGGCGAAGGTGAGAAAACTGCAAACTGGCAGGTGAGGAGGCGCACTACTCTACTGGACTGGACTGGAGAGACACATTAGGCTGGAAAGGTGGAATGAGAAAGAGAAGAGAAAGTCGGAGGGCACATGGTTAGATTCACCAGGGTCTTTCAACGCCTCTTGTCCCCTTCTACCTCTTCACTCCCCTACTTTTCTTTGTATTTGTCCCAGCACAATCCAATTAACAGTGATTTCATGCCATGAGTTTGCTGGTGTTCTCTGTTTTTCTGAGACTGATGGTATATGAATCGATCCCACTGCATTGCTGTCCTAGATGTGCAGCATGAGCCAAGGTTACAGTGACCGTCTCTGGGGGAAGACATGTGACTACAGGGAAGTGATGTGATCATTAATGAGCCAAATTGGTTGTTAATTATACCCTGACCACCAGATGACATTCGATTTATTTTCAATTTGGAGGGAAGATGTCCTTTCATGACAGAGCCCCCAGGGACAGGATATCACAGAGATGAATTCTGGTGAAGATGCATACTTAAGCTTCAATGCACGACGATTTGTCCTGGTATGAGACAATATCGGATTCTGGAGTGCACTGTTGTTCTTATACCACAACCGTTTAATGCAGCTTGCTCGATTTGTTTTCCATGGGGCATACATTTAAAAGCACTGATGTATAATGGTGGTTAGACCCTCAACTATAGTCAAAGTGTCTTAACTCAAAGCCAATCAGACTCATGCTATTCAGGACTTATGCATGAATTCACATATAAGTACAATGGGTAACACTTTATGTTATTGGTCTGTCATTTCCTGGTAATTTCCTTGAAAGTTTCCTGGGAAAGACTAATGTAACCTGGGACTAATTATAGAGAAAATGGAGAAAAGGTTCAGGTAAAAAAAACTCAATTTCAGTGCATATCCATTAATAATAATATATTATTGAACACTTTTTGGTTATTAAATTAACCATTTTCAGCTGACCTGCTGTACACTGACTATAAGTGTCAGCAATTCCATGGGATTGTTTAACTGGAAATGCAACATGAACACTGTCACGACTGTCCCTATAAGTAATGACAAATTACACAGTTCTTTCCAGGAACTTTCCTATGAAGTAAAGTACAGTTGCATATAAGAAATTATAGGAAACTAGTGGACCTGTATAACAAGGCATTTAACAAGCTATTTATCCTATTCAGAATTTGTACATTTTATGACTTTGGTGCCCCCCAGTGGTAGTATTAAACACTGTATTAGCTCAGTTTTCCCTGTGGGTTCACTAGTAGGACACCTTTCACATACAAGTAGTCATGTGATCCATCATTAATATAAAAAAAACTCATTATAGCCACTTTAATTGTTTTTATTGCTGGGACTACAGTCACAAATTAGACGTTTAGCTGATTTAGCATCCAATTGGTTTCCCTCTGTCAAACGAAGCCTGTTACACCCCATTGTGGGACAGTATATGGGGGTCGGGGGGGGGACAAGTGGCTTTGGAAGTGCCCTGGGAAAGGAAACACTACAAGATACTGCAAAAGGGGAAAGAGGAGGAAGAGGGATGGAGAAAGAGAAAGAGAGGAACTGTCAGTACATTGCATTCCAGACTGGTTAGAAAGAGGGGGTTAAAATCGTCGGGGCCCGAGTCGTCTGTCAGAGCTAGGGACCAGGATTTGTCAGAGGCCAGAGACAGAGCTTCCATCTCCGCTAGAGGGATCTAGGCAGGAAGAGACAACGGCTGGTGAGCAGAGAAAACAAACGCACTCACAAAAATAAGGACGCTACACACAGAAAAGACCTGTAGCTAACAGAGATATTGACTTTGAAACAACACATATAAAACTGGAAGTGTGAAGCCAAAGCAACATTTATAGGCTGGAAACCACCTTTAGACATTTTAAACTGTATTGCTATTAGTGTAACAGCAGCAATAATATTCCAGGGTCCACACACACACACACACACACACACACACACACACACACACACACACACACACACACACACACACACACACACACACACACACTAAAATGTACAGCTTTATGATTCTGAACAACAGACAAACTGTTTAACATGATGCAAATGAGACAACCACGTTCTTTCACAGAAACAAACAAGCAGACAGGAAGGGGATTCATTTATATTCTATGCATTGAAATGCAGTCATTTCAAATTTGCAGAGGCTTAATGTTAAAACCTGGAAGTGCCTACACAGCTAAACTAGTTGAATGTGAGATGCTAGCTCTGAGTTAATTCACATCACTGAGCTCTGAATCCTCAGTTTGGCCTCAGTCTCGCTGTGTTTAGATGCCTTGCTGGCTTCTGGAAGAGGAGCTGCTGTGTATTTGGCCTCGTACCTGTCTAACAGGGGAAATGCTTTCTGACAGTCAAATGGGCCATTGGAGCAGAGAGAGGCAGGAGCCACAACTCAATGGAAAACATCTTCTGTTAACGTATCGGAAGGAGAGAGGTGGCCTATGGCGTCTAATAATGACATCTCAGACCCATTTGAAGCTTTTAGAGGATCGGGTTTTGCAATGCTAATGTAATTGGTCAAAATTTCCCTTCAAATGAGGAAAAGAGGCACTCAGATGCATTATTCAGCGACTCTGTGATCCATAGCTTATTGATTGAGCAATTGCCCTGCAGACTTGTGTGTAAGAATGTGATCATTGAGAGTGAATGCCTTTGGTGGGATATTACATCGCTGTGACTGTTTGAGAAAGTAGGGATTCACATATAGACACACAAACATGCATGCGGACACAAACAGACACAGTGTTGTGTGGGGGAAACTCTAAACCATGTCACTGAGGCCAGACCAAAAACCTGCCAAGCATGAATGGATGTAAGTGAGTGGAGACGTGAGCGAGGGAGTGAGATCATAGCTGAGGCGGGATATGACGCACTGCGCTGTGGTGGGCAACAGGGCCGGTTAGAAAGGGGTAAATATTCAATGTGGAGGAATGCCAGTGCAAAAATGGTAATAGCTGTAGGGCTGCACAAGATGTACAAAAGATCACATTAGCATGCTTTTTCATGAATCTTATGAAATAAAGTTCCACGGACAGCATTCCTGCACTAACTAGGCCGGGAATTCTGTACTCTACAAACTTTATCCATCTTTAAGTAATTTAGTCTGGTATTGAGTCATAAAATTTCATTTTTTATTAATACAAGTGGTAAATTCAGCCAATAGCGGTGAGATAATTTCACCTGTTTTCAATCAAAAGCTATTGTTTCAAGAGTCAACCAAGCTCATCTCCTTACTTGGAGTAATCCGCTTTAGTTAAAGGGTCACTTCACCCAAATTAAAAGAAACCAGATATTTAATTACTTAGCTGTGGTACAATGGATCTAAACCCTTTTGTGTGAGAACACAGACAAAGTATAAATGAACAAGACTTTGAATAGCAAATTTTGTGTTTCCTTGTTTCCTACTTTGATACTAGGACGTCTACAAAACACACAAATCTAAGGTAAAGTTCTGTATTTAAGACCACCTGTGTCTGTGACTAGTCGAAATTGGGAGCCCGGCAAACAATTGCAAGTAACACTGACTGGCTGTCTGCATCGATGTCAATGTCTGTTCTAGAAGGATATTGAATTAAACCAATACCCATTTTCTGAGCATGCATGCTTCATCAATGGTTTTGTTTTGAAAGAGAAAAAAGTAAATAACAGCAGTACACTAAATATTACATTAATACACATAAATAATGTGACGGGAGGATCTTAAGTTCACTAGCACTTAGATAATAATCAAACAACAACAGATTCAGTTTCAAACAAGACTGACTCAGTTTAACCTACAGAGGTAAAAAAAAAAGTTGTGTTTGTGCTGCTCACAGCACTGAATTACATATAAAATAGCAACAGAAACATATTTCTTTATAATAACAATCCACAGTCACACTGTGGAGACTTTTCTATTTCTTTGGTAGAATTTTGAACATTTCATTATTAAATACTGTGAGCAACAGAAACCAGAAACATTCCATTCCCCTTTAAAGCGTTGGGGGTAGATCTCAAAGATGGATACCTCACATTGGGCTAAATTATTTGCATGACTAGACACTGCTAACTGAGTACAGGGATTTATTTGTGATTTGGGTGAACTGACCCTTTAAATGATTGTTCTTAGAAAGTCTTTAAGTGAAACTCTCTTGAAAACAGGGGATATTATTTGATTTAGCCTCACATAAAAGAAAACAAGACTATCTGTAACCTTTCTGGATATCATATTTAAGAATCAGAATTTACAGCAGCAACTACTGCATTGCAGTTATGTGCTTACTATCGCTTGTGCAGCCCTACTTGTTGGAGAGGAGCAAGACCCAATGGATGTATGAAATGATTTTCATGAGTGTGAGCCATCATTCTGGTGATTATTGACCTTCTTGTCGCTGCTGTGCTTGCTGGGCTTGGGGGGCAGTGCGTAGTAGTGACAGATAGAGCCAGACAGGTTGTCCATCAAACTCAACTCTCCCTCCATTGAACCCTGGATGACCAGGGAGACCGAGTCAAACTGCGCTCTCCGCTGGACAAACTTCGATAATGCAGAGAGAAAGGACAGAGCGGAGAGACAGACAGACAGGAAGAAATTTGGAGCAGAAGTTGAGGAAAAGGACAAGGACGGGGGAGAAGGAAAGACAGAAGTTGACAAAAACACAGGAATAATGTGGAAAGAAAGAATGGATCACAAAGAAAGAGAGGGAAGGAAAAAAACAGTAGATCAAGAAAGGAACAAACATATAAACAGAAACAAGACAAGAACTACATTAGCTATTAAACTTAGCTCAATAAATTGTTAAGCCTTTCATGCAGCACACAGCAACTGAACACACACAACCTCCTCCTGACCAACATCCACTACAGGCCCTCATATGTTCCCATTTAATTCCACAAGGGGGCACTGCAACACTGCAGTAGAGCTGCTCTCCCACAGTGCTGGAGAAGAGACTGCGGCTTAACCACACATGTTTTGGAAGAGTGGCGGAAGAAGACGGATAACATCTTAGAGGGGAAACATAACGACAGCGAGGCCTCTATTTCCTATCCCCCAAAAAGTTCCCCGCTGTCTGGAAATAGCAGTTGAAGTGAACAACAAGGCCCCGTGGTCTAGCTTTCCCATGGCACTGTGACCTATCTATGACTGGCATGTCCTCTACTGGGACCAGCTACACACAAGTACACACACACATACACACACACACACAGTCAGGCATGCACACAAACTGTAAACCCTCCTGGTGTTTACACAGACACAGAATAATACATTTGCATATCTAGAACCTTTTATGGATTATTGACTTGACATAAACAATAACTGTGTTTAATATGTGAGGAGAGTATGCCAATATTGAGAAAAACAGTCAATAATCCTGACTTTGGACACATCTCATGTAAATGTATCCACTTATATTTTGAAATGATGCCAGAATGTGTAGTAAATATGTCCTAATATGGCCATATCCGCCATACTTTGTTTACATATGGACTACAGTTAGTACACTGAGACAATGAAGAGACATTTCTCCAAACAAATCCACTATTTCAAGTAGTCTCCAGCATGCTCAGCATCCCTCAGCCCGTGCCAGAGAATTAACTAATGGTTTGGACTGGAGTCAGAACTAATGACTAGAGACTTGGGGGGTGGGGAGGGGGTCATCTGACTGGCCGCACAGCCTGGCCCCCCAGCAGGAAGTCACCTTGGAGCATCTGTCATGTCGCCCATGACGCTGCATAGACCATACATAAAATATACACCGCTAATTGTCTAATTGTTAAGTTTACACACATGGATATTTAGAATATTGAAAAAAATGATGCACCTATTTTTTGTGGACTATGGCAAATATTTTGGAGAGTTCTCACTTTTTTGAAACTCCCAATTCTATCTATTATTTTAATCTTAAAGATATTATACGTTATTATAATAATCCAGATGATATCCTGAATATCTGGTGCATTTCATTATTCAATATGCAAAGTCTTTATTCAACAGAAAACTTACATCAGTACCTCAGATCTCACCTATTCTCCCTGAACTGAATTCTCTACTTAAATCACAAATAAAGTGAAAGGCTTTTGAAACATTACAGAACTATTTTCCCCATGAAACCTCTTGATTAATATGTTTATATTTGTGTATAGGTGTACTCCTGTTTTTGATTTTTATGTTATTGTCTTTTAATATCTTCTGATATGTTCTTTTTATGTATATCTAATAATAATAATAATAATAATAATAATAATAATAGACATTATGTGAATGTGTATCTCACTTTTACTTGCGTGCAATAATGTGAATCAATAAAGACAGCGTGATAAGGTATTTATATGCAACTATAAAGTCACTCACATGTGACATGGAACCCCATCTAATTTATTGGTTATATAAACCTATAGTTATATATAGGTATAGAGTTATTAATGCACAAGCTGCTATTGGGACCTACAAAGGGAAAGCTATTTTTATTCTGATTAGCCGTGTTTTTCAGTAAAATCTATTGTTTCTGTCAGTAAGCACAAACATATCTGGAGTTATGTTCTTTGAGAAGATGTCAACAGGGCTGATGAGGGAACCATGGTCGAAGAATGTCTTCGAAATCACAACGCTCAGATAAACATAACATAGAAGCAGCACAAAAAAGACTTATTACCTCCAGCGTGGGCTCCAGGCTTGAAGGGGGGTCTGCTCTGAGGTTTATAGAGTCTCTGCGAATATCAGCAGTGGGCGAGTCCATAGGACCGCCCCTTTCCTGCTCCCTGTCCCCTCCTCCAGTGGACCTACAGGGGGAACCCCCAGAGCTTGACCTGTCCGTGCCCAGTGCCAGAGGGTTGAGTTGGGGTGACCTTGTTGCCATTTCCGCCCTTTCCGCCTGGAGCCGGTTCTCCAGCTCCAACTCTGCCTCCAGCTCCGCCTCCTCCTTGGCTTCCTTGTTGCTCTCCTCCAGGTGCTTCATCAGGACAGCTATGACAACGTTGACCAGGACAAACTGGGCGGTCAAAACGAAGGAGACGAAGTAGATGGGAGAGACCACAGTGTTGTAGCAGGGGTTGTCATTACCGCAGTCCCTCAGTGTGTCCTGGACAAAGCATGAAAACATGAGCACATTAGCTAAAGCTGGGTTAGGGTTCTGATAAACTCAGATGATGAACATGGCACACATTATACCTGGTAAACATCAGCATGTTCAACATTGTCATTGTGAGCGTGCTGATGTTAGCATTTATTTGTAGCCTAATGTATGGATAACTTCAGCTACAGTAGGGTTAAAGTTAGGGAAAGGTCATGGTCATGATACTAAAATCCCTAAAAATGGAACATGAAGTCAGGTCTCTGGTGTGAAAGTCAGATGCACTATTTTGCCCATCCATCACCACGACCTCCACAGTCTTACTTTCTGCCTCATTACATAAAGGGCACACCACTACTACTGACACGCAACGTCAGCTTTAGACTTAAGTGTGTTGCGTAATTCTCCAATATAAATATGAGTTGTATGGATACTGGCCTGAACATGGAGACAAAGCAGACAATCATCTAAAAGCGTTTGAAAATTAGATTTATTATTTTAAGGTACTTGGCAACTTATTATCTGAAAGGTCCAGTGTGTAACATTTAAGTGGATCTATTAGCAGAAATGGAATATAATATGCAAAACTATTTTCATTAGTGTATAATCGTATAGGAATTGTTATGTATTTGTACTACTGTATCCTACAAACTGAACCTTTGAAGGCAAAATCTGAACCACTCTGCTACTAAAATCTATTAGTATAGGGCTATTTTTTGCCCCTGGGTGCAAAAGAATTAGCCTTTGAAAGATGAATAATGAGGAGGGACAGATTTGTAGTCATTTGCAAAAAATTGGGTAGGCTGCCCCAATGGATGACATACCAACACGTCACCACTATCTGCCTCTTATGCTCCTGTTGCATAAACAGCACATAAGAATGAACTATGTGTATGTATGTGTTCAGGATCCCAAACTGCAGTGTTGGTTTCACCTTCATTATGCCATTCCAGTTGTCTCCAGTGGAAACTCTGAAGAGCAGCAGAAATGCCATCCCAAAGTTTCTGAATGTAGCATAGCGCCCCAGACCTTCACAATGGTGTTTCGAATCGCAAACTGGGGAGACAAGGAGGAGCAGGGAGGGGGAGAAGGAGAGGAATAGCCAAACCGTAAAAGAGGATGGAGACTTTCAAGGCTTTTTAGTGGTCACAACATAGGGCTTTGCAATGAAATGATAATAACTGTAACACTATTGTATTACACAAAAGCTACTACTTTCTATTAGACATCAGCTAGAGAAATCAATAAAGTATTTCCACAAAGGCCTTTAGAAAGCAATTAACATGAGATAGATTAAACCCACAGTGGGGAGAATTAAATACTGTCGGGTATGTATGTGTGTGAATCTTTGCCTGACTGCCTGTACGCATGGTGCATATGTCCTTACTTAAGTCACCAAACAGCTCCACTCCCAGCGCTGCAAAGATAAAGAAGAGAAGCATGAAGAGAAGACCCAGATTCCCCACCTGCAGAGACACAACGGGAAGAGAGAGGGATTAGTCAGAGGAGAGAAATCCCCGGCAAAAAAAAATCAATGGGCGAGGGACAACAAACATTTCATTACAGTGAGAAAATGAATGCAGGCCTGCGGTGAAGCAGCCGGGAGATAATATATACACTATGGCAATCAACTATTTCCTAAACCCCACCTCCATACAGTGATTGTCCAATCAAAACAAGCATTGGAAGGAATGAATTAAACTGTGTTTTTCTACTCTAACACAATCTGCAAATGTTAGCATGGCTAACTAGCTTACTTCCTATAGTAGTAACTAAGCTAGGCAAATCAGCATTTCATACTTAAATATTTAGTGGGATTACAGTTTACATTAAAAAAAAACATACATAAAAAAAAGCACCATTCAAGACCAGCACAACCATTATTTCCCAACATTAGCAGCTCAGTCTATTAGATTAGACTCCAACAATTTCAGCAAAACTTGTCATCCATGATAACGTTACATGCTGACTTTTTGCCTGGGATATGTAGCTTTAACCTCAGTTGGTTAGCATGATATCTTGTATGTGTGTAATCAAGTGCATACAGAAAGGACCAGTGTGTAGGATTTAGTGGCATCTAGCGGTGAAGTTGCAGTACTTGCACTAACTGAATACCACTCACATCTGTATTTGATGACCTGGGTATGAAAACAGGCTGTGAAGTGTGTAGGAAAAACTACTGTGGCTGCGAAACTTGCGGAAAACTCGAATGGCCCTATCTAGCCAGTGTTTGGTTTGTCAATTCTGGGCTACTGTAGACACATGGCAGTTAATCATAGCAGACTCCATAGACGAGGACCCACTCTCTCTCTGCAAATAGATCCTCCTAAATGTTACACACTGGACCTTTAAGAAAAACAATTGCAGGTTATACGTTAAAAAGTCACCTGGAAAGTCAAAGAAGGTTTTTTTTAATAGATTTTTTATGCTAATCTTAATTACCTACCTAGCTGATAATATCTGCCAGCCACAGTTGTCATTTCAGCTGACACAATCAAAATGAGCTTGAACTGAGAAGCTGCCTTTGTCTACCTCTGTCTGAAATCAAGGTTTCAACAATTACTATGAATTTCAGGTGGTAAAGCTCCCTTGTGTGCCACACAAGAATGCTGCGAAGCAGTTAAAAAGCACCATCTGAATAAAAATGTGCAGCTGATGAGGAAGGAGTGAAACACATAATAGGGAATAACAGCTTTAAACATACAGAGGTGGGTTTAGGTAATGAAAAAGCTTCAGGGTGTGCTGCTGCTGCTGCCGGTGTCAATGCTAATCACCATCAACCAACCTGCTCACACCCACATCACCACCTATTATCGGATTTATTAATTATGAAAACTTCTGACAAGCTCTGGGAGGAATTAGGCTTAATTTCTGTATGACAGACAGAGGTGGTATCAAAGAATGCTGTGAACATAAGATATAAGAGTGTTATTTTTTCCCCTCAATCCAAACACTGCAGAAGTTGTTCTACTTTACCAGCTCCGGCACCCTCAAATCCACCTACCATCATTCAAAACAAAACCTCAAGCTACATTCACTTCGCAATCTCGGCAGGGGGCTGGTTATGCAAATAATGGTCTCTAGAGTTTGCAAAAGGCTCATGGGAAACAACAGCATCCTGAAACAGAAGAACATTTACCAAAAAAAGAAATGCCTCTGGGGATGTAATTTTAAGGACAGCTTCTGTGGGACGTGTTAGGAAGTGAAAGATCCGTGGAGAAAATTACAGATGAGGAAGGAAAAGTGAAATCAGTGGCTTCCGTGGATGTTATTTAACAGAGCTGACGGAGTACCTGAGGCAGGGCTTGCATAACGGTGTCCAGCAAAGCTCTCATCCCCACCGCCATCTTCAACAGCTTCAATACTGTGGGGACACACACATACACACACACAGATAATGAAAAAGTGTCTTACCAATATTAAGATTGTTCAGTCTTACATAACAGGACAGGGACTTGTGCCATCACGCCTTCTGTGATATTGAAAGGACTCAACATTTTCCTTACTTACAGACTAATCCTGCTCCGTCAGTGTAGTCACAGGTTTCTTTTTATTGAACATTAAGCTTTCAGATAGCCTGATTGAGGTCATATCCTCCTGATTGGGGTTGCAGCTTGATGAGGTCACGGGTATGGCGATGGGGTACCAGACTGATAGATAATGCATAATAATGAGTGAAATAGTAGAGGTGCACAAAAAAGTTAGTTTTCGAGGCCCTGGACAGACTCTCTAGCGGCTGCCTGGCCTACGCCTAGACCACAAAATTGTTCCAACAAGTCGCTGCCCATAAAACAGCTAATTGGCATTTTTACGTGTTTGTTTATTTGTGTAGGTTTGACTGGTTCATATGAGATATATGGTAATTTGCGACTTTTACAGGTGCTGGTAGGTGGAGATTTGAACCTTTGGTTAGCTGTTTCCTCCTGCTTCCAGTATTGTGCTAAGCTAAGCTTAACTTAACCCTTCTATTGACCATACAGTCATTATCATAGTATTGATCTTCTAATCTAATTCAAATAAGCATATTTACCAAAATATCAAACTATTCCTTCAAGCATGAGCAATATTTGTGAGGAAACTGGGATTGTTAAATGTACGATGTATTCTTGCAATATGCAGTAGATGAAAACATTATGCATTAGGGTCCTTACATAATGCTGTAAGTCTTTGTGCTTATACTGAACATTCCCATGGAAACAGTCTGGCTTGGGTTCAGATTGTGAACAATAGCAGAAGAAAAAGCAGCCCATCCTGGCAAATTTAAAGATCCAATCAAACAGCCACTGGAAAACTTCTACTGATTCTCACTGCATGGAGACCTCAGGCACAAGTGGAGGTGCCTTTTGAGTTGTTATTACTAATAATATTAAGTAGCTAAATGGCATTCAGGCATGATTCATTTTATTAGTTCTTTATTAGTTATTATTATTATTATTTACACAAATCTATTGAGACATGTCAGTATGTCTTCTGTGAAAAAAGCCTATAACCCATAGTGGTTTGCACTTAGAGCCCCTTCACACACATCGCCCTCTCCTCAGTGTGGGTGTGCACAAACCACGCTTGATTGACATCTCCCTCACTCTACTGTCACTATAGTTCTGTTGCACCTCTTAAGGTTCAGTCAGACCGGATTTTAAAAGAGCTAAACAGGGAAGTGACAATGTATACAGGACATACACGGTACAGTCTGAAAAGTATATGCTAGTAGTATGTAATATGAAATACATTCACAATACATGTTGTAATTATGTACGAACAATCCAGACACGGCTATTGTTAGGCAGCTTAAATGGAATCAAAGTTGGAACAACAGAAACATTACAAGAAAATGTAACTGGTGCAGCAGTGTTTGGCGAGGACAATCAAATGTGATTACAATGGAGCCAGTGTGTAAATGTAATCCAGCTAAATCACGTCTACACAGTCTGAATATGAGATGCACGGTAATGCCAGATAGAAAACAGGAGCCACTTATTGTACCCACTCAAATGACACACACATTACACACATATGTTTGTGCCTGGTCTTCTGTGTGACAGCAATCAATAAAGACTTCCATGCTACTTCTTTTATTACACATTCAGTAATCAGACAGAACAGATGAGCTTCCCCCCTGCCCGGTCTTATCTCCTCCTTCTCTCGGCTCTCCTCATCTCTTCCTCCTGTTTCCTCCTCTCCAGCCCTCTCTTATCTTTAATTACCTGGACAAGTAATCAGCCTGAAGCACACGCGCAGTTTAGCTATCCCTGCCAAATCCATCCCGTCTCTTTAGCTCGACCTTCCTCCTCCACCCTTTTGCACCATTTAGTCTCTCTCCGGATGTACTGTATTCTCTCTGTCTCCCTCTCGCCCACCAGCATACCTTTGCTCCATTCATTTATCTCTCATTATCCTCATTCACTCAACTTTTTTCACTCGAACATCGATTGCTCCTCTTTTCAACTTCTCTCCATCTTCTTGTAATCTATTTTCAGGTCAGAAGTTATTCGTCATCCCTCCCTCTTCCTTTTATTCCTCCTCTCTTCCCCTCTCCTTTCATTTATTCCCTCCATACCTCAGTTCCTTGCAGCTTAATTCACTTACTGTCATCATGTGACTCTCCCCCACCCTCAGCTATCTTTCCTCACCTCTCTCCTCTCCCAGCCTTTGTCTCTATATTTCTTCCTCTCTCTCTCTCTCTCTCTCTCTCTGCCCCCTCTCAGTGCTTTGGGTTTGTCAGCTGACTGTGTTTCTCTGTGCCATCTGGTCGACTCACACCCTGCCCGAGCCCTGCTGAGACCTGCCATGCAAAAATGACAAAGAGGGGAGTCCCACGGACGTGGCTGTTTTACAAGGCATCTTGAAAGTACAGCACTATGAGAGAGACCAGAGTGCGTACGTGTGTGTGAGAGAGATTGTGTCAGGGAGGGGTTTGGATGGATGGATGGGCAGGACGAGGGGCGGGGGGCTTCCTACCTCTTGCGATCCTCAGCACTCTCATGATGCGGATGATGGTGGGGTTGATATGCCGGGATGCATTGACCTCAATCTCCTCCAGAGTGATGCCCATGATGGACAGCAGCACGATGGCCAGATCCAGCTGGTTCCACCTACAGACACGCACACACACACACACACACACACACACACACACACACACACACACACACACACACACAGAAACACACACACACACACACACACACACACACACACACACACACACACACACACACACACACACACACACACACACACACACACACAGACTTAGATGTTCCTGTCACTGAAACCTGAAATGTGACTGGCTGTAAAATCTGACCTAAACAAATCATCAAAATCATCAATATCTGAGTCATTTCCTTTAGTCTAGAGATGTGAACTGGAGTCATATTACCTGGACTTGAGTCAAAATTGAGTCATAAACCTGATTACTTTAGACTGACAACTCAATTTTGACTTCAAAACCAATAACTTGTGTCTTCACTTGGTCTTTAAAGTACTCCCACACACTGTTGGGAAACCAGGGCCAAATCAATTTGTTTCATTATAGCAGTCATGTTTCAGCACCTGCCATTCACAGCTCCCTTCACACATTAAAGGACACAAAAGTGTTTAAGTACAGCTTGTACTGAAGTTCCTGTTTAGAGGAGCTCATTACAAAGCATGAGGTATAAATTGCTAGTTTTTATACTTTAAATAAATAGTTTTTTGATTCTTCAAATCTAGAAGATTTTGTCTTAATGCTAAGCTAAGCTAACATCTAGTCGCTCTAGTGTCATACTTTGGTAGACGAGAATGGTATTGATCTTCTTTTTGGAAAGCTAACAAAGGTATTCCCTAATTTGAAAATGTTTCTTTAAAGGACCGGTGTGTAGGATTTCGTGGCATCTAGTAGTGAAGTTGTAGATTGTAACCATTTGAAAAAAGCTCAGTGTGTAGTAGAAACTATGGTGGTTCAACATGGCGGACTCTGTAGAAGAGGACCCACTCCTCCTGTAGATAAAAACGGCTCATTCTAAGGTAACTAAAACCCAACTTTTCCTATTTTCAGGTGATTACTAACATATGAAAACATACCTAAGAGTATTATACTTCTGTCAACAGACATTCTGACTGGACCTTTAAGTATGTACAATAGTGAGAAAAAGTTGCATTTTCTTATTAAAGGCCCAGTGTATAACATTTAGGAGGATCTATTAGCAGAAATGGAATATAATATTCATAGGTATGTTGTCATTAGTGTATATTCCCCTTAATAAGAATCGCTGTGTTTTGATCACCTTAGAATGAGCTGTTTATAATCTACCACCGTGGGTCACGTCCACTGACTGTAGATAGGACATTTTGTAATTTTCGCAGGTTTTGCAGCCAGAAATGACATAATAAAGCCAACACTTTAGTCTTACACAATTAACTAATCACATAAACTTTAAATTTAAGAGATGGATCATTTTCTGGATGCCCAGGAGTGTGTAGAGTATTTCAGTGTTATGAGGCAGATTAAAAAAGTGACAATGATATAATTTCATTTTAGTATATCATAAAGATAGATATGGTGCACTCAGATCAGGAATCAGCAGGCTAATTTCTTTCCCAGATACTGTGACTTGACTTGAGATCAAAGTGTTGGGACCAGATCTAATTTTCCAGCCCCTGTGCAATAAATGTGCACTGAGCAAAATGTTTTGAATAGAATGAGTGTGTAAAAAGTCAGTGAAGATATTGGTGGGTGGTCGTACTAATCAGGTTTGTCAATTTCCATTGTTTCTTTTCTATGAGCAGAATGAACACAAGCAAATCAACTTAAAATTCAATGAGCCTGTCAAACTAGAGGTCTTGGCTAAATGTTGCGTTTATCTGTGTGTACTGTGTGTGTGTGTGTGTGTGTGTGTGTGTGTGTAGTGAGGTAATATCAAACTGGGCTGCTGCCAAATGCAAAAAGGATAATGGTCTACTCTGGCAAAGAGAATGGACATCATGGAGCCCTTGGTGGTCAGCTCTGCTCCAAAAACACAATGCCTCCACTGAGGTGAGTGTGTTAGTGTGTGTATTCATGTATGTGTGATGTGTGGTAAGATACGTTTGGGCTGTTGGGATTGTGTTTGTGCATTATTGTGCGGTTTGCAGCAGGACGCCAGGGATTTCGAAGCTATGAAATCATCTAAGGCAACGTCTTTTATGGGTGTTTAACGAGGCCGTTTGTATTCATACAGGCCTCACTGAGAACCATCCACTGGAGCACCTTAGAAAAAGCTCAATTAAGCTCCTCCGAACTCTGCCTCACATTTTCCACATGACTCAGAGGTTAAAGAACGGCACCTTTAACCACCAATCCATTACAATATCATGTCCCCTAAAATGTCAAAACCCTAAACTGGAAGGTAAATGTTTATTCAGGATTTCTGTCTGATCTGTGTCCAAGATTGTTTGGAAGCGGCTATTACGTCACTTTGGGAAGCATGGCAGTTAAATACTGACTTGTCTTTGAAGAAGCCTCGAAAGCCGAAGGCCACCAGCTTGAAGACGGACTCCAGTACAAAGATGACTGTGAAGATGTAGTTACAGATCTTCAGTGCCTTGGTCAGTTCCTGGGGATGTCAGGGAGAGACATATTAAAGGTTAATAAACTGCACAAGTATCTATCTTAACAGGGCAGTATACCTAGTATTAAACTTTCTATTATTTCAGCAGAGTAAGCTGTGGGTTTCATGTAATGAAATGTGCTGAGACTGCACTGAAAACCAATGAAAAGATCTCACCCCATTGCAATCTTCCAACTCGACTCAGTTGCACTAAATGGCTTGCTATAGTGAATATTTTTGCTCTGCAAATATACGATTTTCCTGCACTTACAGCCTTCGCATGAAATACCAAAAGGTCCATATTGTAAACTCTGTCCTCTTCTCCAGAATTAGCCATTCCATTAATAGATCACTCTCGTCGCCCTCCGCTCCTCCCTCCCTCATTCCCCACGAAAAGGCCATTAGAATCAAACTGTCCATTTTTGCCTGTGGGAGAACTCACAGTGCCCATCTGCATGTAAAAACTGACCTTTAGCAGCGAGACGAGGAGAGAGCTGGTGGTCAACAGGGATTTCACTAAATCCTCACTGGTGGCAATTCGTCCACTCACAGCTACATCCCATACTACCTTCCACTCTACCCCATTCCCATCTACCATGCTTTACCTCATCCATCCTGTCACCTTATGTTCTTTTTTTGCAGGTACTCCTCTCTTTTATTCAGCTTCTCTTGTCTCTGAGTCTCTTTTACTCTTATGGAATAGACCTTTTTCCCAGCAGCGATTTTGACATTAAATAGTAGGCTAAACACAGGTGTTCCATTCAGGCCAAACAGAGTCAGGGGGCTGCTATTAGGCAGTTTGGCTCACTGGAAAGGCTCTGCTACACTAAATGGAACGGAAACCTTAATTAGTATCATTGGTAACACCTGTGTTTACCCTACTATTTCATGTCCAAATGGCTGATGTGAAAAAGGTTTATTCTTCTTCCACTTCATTGTTCTGATAAAGCAGGTGGCCAACAATGTTAAAAGCAATAGAAATATTTCTAAAATGAGTGGAATATGGATACGGGCTATAAATCCTAAATATCCATACCAGAGCATGGCTTTGTATTTATACAAAGGTCATTTGCATTACCTTTTGGGTTTACCAAACGGGTGAAATTTGCGGTAACCCATTACCTTAAATGTATAGTTTTTTTACAGCATTATTCTAAACCATTTTAATATGAGTTCATCTAGTCTAATGACTGTGTAATGATCTCACAGTTATTGTTTTGAAACCTCCCTTTAATAGTTCACCGTTGCTGTTCTTACCAGGCTTTTACAAATCTTATCCTACTTTCCTTTCTTTTTGTGTAGACCTGATCCCCTTGTCAGGCTGGTTTAAGGAAATAATAAGGGTGTTTTGATAAGTCGTTTCTTATTATTATTAGTATTTTATTATCATTGGCACAGCTTTTATATTTGACACTACCTGGAGTCCTATGAGGCCATTAACCTGCTATTCCAGGGAGATTTAAATATATTCCAATAATATTCCAATGGCATTTATCCTTATTTTAAAGCATAATGTAGATACTAGAACAAAGTCTGTAATAGCCAATATTATTATTATTATTATATTTTTTAAAAACTTGAGTGAAAATGCTTTTGAAACATTTACAGCCAGACTATTGGACACTTAAACTATACTTTGAGGCCGTATTCACATCAAATCAAGCATTGCAGACCTTCCTGCAGGGTTGTGCGGAGGTGTGGGCATGTTTATTAAGAAAATAAAGTTTATTTATATGATATATCACTACCACCGCTCCCTCTCGTCATTCACTCTCTAGCTCAATCAACCACCTCTGCTCTCTCTTTCTCACTCTTGGCTACTGCAGAGTGCCGTCGGGTTGGGTTTCTCCAAAAGCTGACAGACCTTTCGGCATTCCCTGCACTCCCTACCACTGTAGCCCAAACACAATACCTACATTAGAATGAATGGGAGGACTGGTGTTTTCACTGTAAAGCCTGATTTGGTGTGAATACAGCCCAACACAGGATGGTTGGATCAGTTACATACTTTTTAATCAGTGTAGGACTGACCCAGTATGCAAACAAAGAGAACTGTAGCCATCATACCAAATCTAGTCCAACAAGTTATTGCAATAAGACAAACTCTAGGAATTATTTGCAATTATTTTTCGAGCCCATGGGGTATAAACATTTGAAGCAAAGAGTCCATCATTACCCCACCTTTGTCCCCCCACTTCTGACCTTGGGCTGTTGGTAGTGCTCCATGGACATGGCGATGACGTTGAGCCCTATGACGATGGTGATGAACAGGTCCAGGTATTGGCTGGTACACATCTTGTGGATGAGCAGGCGGGTGGGGGAGTAATCGGAGTAGTAGGGCTTACTCTGAGCTTCTGTTGGAAGTGGGAAGTAGTGGGGGGTGGGGTGGGGTGAGGGGAGCGGGGTAATGAGGAGGAGGAGGAGGAGGAGGAGGAGGTGGCGTTCAAAAAGTGAGATAGGAGGTAATGTACTTGGACACTGTACAGTAGACCTGCTGTGTTGAGGACTGGAGCCACCAGTCTGATTTAAAAAAAAGTGGTTAGTGAAACACAACAACACCCTCCTGCACACTTAAATGTGTTAAAGATGGTATCAAGAATATGTAAAGAGAGATGTGAAGAGATTAGAAAAGGGGATGCCGATCAGGTAACGCATAGAGAGAAAGAAAGACTCCAGCCAGGCCCTCCTGTGGTCTGCGTCATGACTAATCAAATCAAATCTCCTCTCTGATCAACAATTATTTAAATGAACTCTCCGAGTGCGTGTGATAGGAGATAAACAGCATTGCTCAGTGTGTGTGAGGCTGTTGTCTGGAGATTTGGCCATTTTTCCCCTCTGTCTCTCTGATCGTCACGTGACTCGGCCTCCCCTTATTCCTTTCACTTCCCTCCCTTAGGAACAGAACATGGGACAAAAGTTCTCCATACTCATCCATCACTTTGTTCCTCACCTCTTCCCTCCATCCACAGAGGATGGATGGATGGGCTGGGAGTTGGGATGAGGAGGAGAGAGGAAGCTATCACCTTATCACTCCATCAGTGAAGGAGAGGCTCATGGTCACACAGTAAAAGGGAAGACGGACTCACACATGACTCGCACACTCAAAAGTCCTTTGGGTGTTGGGAGCTCTCCCTCCCTGCCCAATTAGCCCAGGTGTGCTGCTGCGGTTGCAGCTGTGCTGGGCTGGAATGTTTCCCATGAGTGTGTATGTGTGTGTGTGCCTAGTGGTTTCCCTATTGTATTGGAGAAACTCCACCCATAGATCAGGGAATAAGACAGGAGAGCTGAGTAAGCAGAGCCCGTTAACAGACTACCCATCCATCCCTGATCTTTTGGGATTAAAATTCATTTCTCGAGGTAAGAAGGGTACACACTTACTGTTAATGGAGAGCCCAGAATATTCTCCAAGTAAAAGGTCAATTTACTATAACTACTGTACATTTCCACAGCACTAAATCAGTAGTCTACTGCTCTGAGTTTCTTTTTCATAGAAATACTCTTTTTACTCACTAATTATTTCTAATTCCTTCAACTTAACTGTTCATTCAACTGTTTCATTTGGTATTAAACTGCTTTCAAAGAAACTTGACACTTCCTGAAGATGATGAGAATGTTGCCCGGTGAGGCTTCTCTAAGGCTTTTAATGTAAAATATCTCAGCAGGATGGGTTAAGTATCTTGAAAGTAGAAACCAAACAGGCAGAATGGCAAAGTCGAAGCTGGAATTAATTAGTAAGACTACTGTTACTACTGAAGAGGCACTCCACCAATTTTACACTTACAGTACAGCCTGTGAAAACAGTTGTATAATGTCTTCTGTGGCTCTGGAGGGAACTTTCTAAAGTTTGTGTTTCAAAATAGGGGCATGGAGTTGTAGTTGTGTTGGAATGAAAGACGTGTCAGTCAGGCAGTAACACTGTATATATAAAATGCTAACTAGATACATTGTGGGAAATGTAGGATCCAGGGTTTTGGGGTTGGGACCCTTACGACGGACTACAGGTCAGGGTATCTTGGCCTCTGCTGCTTTATTTTTGACCATTCTCTTTTTTTTTTACCTGTTTCTCACAAGCCCCTGGAGTACCCCAGTGGAAGCAGAGAAGCAGAGTAGTAACTGAGACATAAATTGTGGCTGTTGTTGTATGGCATAACGGATGGAATTAGTGGTGTGGAAATGTACATTATCCTGAGTCTGTCAAGGTCAATATGGAAGAATTGTTGGCATAACAGCAAACAACAAATCCAAACTGGGTGCAGATCGGAGAACAGGGAAGGGACTTATTAAAATGTCATTAAAAATATTTAAGACATTTAAATACAATAAAGGCCTGTCTCTGGTGTAAGTCTGTTTAAAATGAATGCCTGTTTGTCTTCTCTGTAAATAATTGCCCTGGTTACAGCCCTGCAATTTGGAGAGTTGTTGAGGTTTGGCAGAGATCTGCACTCAGCTCAGCTAACTGCCTTCAAGTTAATTATTCTATATTTGTGTTCAGGGTCATCTTTGCTGAGAGCTAATTTTGCACCTGCTGGTAATTATTGATATTGACAACAGGGGAGATGAACCTGAAAACTAGTGGTACCGGCTGAACCGCAGGGCAGCCATTGTTGGAGCCTGACTGCTCCTGAACTCCTACGGAGATGTGCGTGCCAGAAAGTGAAAAATAATGTGGCTTCTGGTGTGCTTGGTCTGGCTTCTCAAATAAATGCACTAAAACGGGATGACATACTCAGTCACCTGCTTCACTTTTCCGCATCTCAGGTCCTGCAGCAACACTTCCTTCATCTTGTCAGCTGTTTTTTTTTATAAATGAGGCTATACTTTCGGCATCATCAGTAGACAGTGAAAAAGCAGGTTTAGTGCATCTTGGGAAAGTCTTGGAACATGTCTTTGAATCAGGGTTAGGTATAGCCCTAGTGGGATGCAACAGCTTTATTCACTGGGAGTTCCTATTTACGAGATCCTCCATCATCTATGGATGAGCAAACATTATTTTTACTCTGTTCTACTTACTGTCTGCAGGTGCACAGCGAGCAAAGGTAGACAGACACACTCACACGTAGCAGCAGTCGCTTTGTTTCACCTCCTCCTTTAGACTCCCTCATTCATTTATATATGCTAGAAAAGGCGCTATTTTTTGGTACAACTTTTTTCTCTTTCTAGCATGGCATATCTGCTGTCCTATTTACATTCCCACTTTCATTCAGTGAAATATATTTAAACACACAGCCAAGAAAAAGTCTAATATAGTATGGGATAGCTGAGGTGAGATTGGTTTACTTTCTCCCTTAAAAATTTGTTTGAGGAAGTATTATATCAATATTAATGTATTATATCTATGTGTATACATGTATATCTGTTCAGTCATCATATTATATATACATATTATTATTACTATTATTATTATTATATACTGTTATTAACAATAACACTACTATCATATCATCAGTACTATTACCACCATCTTGCAACTACAACTTCTTTGCACCTTATCTACCAATTTATCTTTTTTTTTATCTACCTCAAGTATTTTATTCTATTGTATTTTTATTGTATTTAAATGTACCTGGCTGCTATGACGACCTAAATCTATCTATCTTTCAGCCTTTTCCTTGCAATTATGGATGGGGCAAGAGGGCCAAACAACAGATAGAGGGATAAGGGAGAAGAAATGGAAAGAAGGAGAGAGAAACTTTTTGGCTAAAGCTCAATTAGTCTCTAGAGGAGAGGGAAGGGAATGAGGTGAGGGGAAGAAAAGGTGAAAGTTTTGAAAGCGAAATTACACCGGGTGCCCCAACTCTCCTGTACTTCCACTGCTCTTTTCTCCTCCACAGAGAAAAGAGGAGAGCTGCTTTTAATGAGGAGTGGAGTGTATGCCGCTCCTGCTTTGAGACCACACTGGCATCCAAATGATTATATTTTCTGAGAAAGATATTCAGACATTCAAAGAAAATATTAAGCTCCTCCTTTCTCTCCCCTCCTTCACGGATGCGGCAGCTTCCTCCCTCGGCTCTCATCATTTTGAAAGGAAACGAGGATGGGTGCAAAGGCACGGAGGGGTCGCAGCCTGCAAACCTCAGGTCACGATGCCTGCCTTCTGCATCTCCATCCTCATACTGGACACCAGTTCTGTGTACATTTAACAGACCAAGATCCAGGATAATCATCTCACAGGGGCTTAGATCTCATTATGTTTGTTAAATAACTGCACTACGTACAACTTCAAGAATATGTAGAGAATTTTATATTGGTGACCCAAAAGTCTTTTTCTCTTAAGTGGCTCACAAAAACAGGCTATGTTGCTCAACAATACTTTGTTCTTCATCTTCTGATGCTTTTATGGCTAATGTCCACTGGATCTGGCAGCAACGCGAATATGCTGGATCTAATTTTGCATCCCTGAAGCGTGACGTTCATTCGTGAATGTATGGAAAATGCTATATTTCTTGGCAATCAATATTTAGTGATGTATTTCATTTGTTACTGAGGTGAAAGGCCTACACAGCAAAACAAGCTTTTCCTGTAAACAAGTTTGAGAGAGAAGGAGAAAGTGGGAGAGGGAGAGAGTTTTCATGTTACTTCTCATCCTCTTTCATCCTCTTTTGAATTGACAATCAACAAAACTGCACATCGCAGCCAGGAGTGGGACAGCCGCAGCCTGGTCTGCTGAGTCTCAGCCTGAGTTCACAATATAGTAGTTCTCATTTTTCAGTTTCTGCTGTCGGATAACTTAAAGAGTATTAAATAGTGATTTAATCGTGGCTCATAAATAGCACATGTTCCCAAGCACTGCAGTAGTAATTAAATCTTTATTTATATCACTAACATTTAAAATGAACGATCACAGCGGGCGCAAAAAGGTCGTCTTTTAATGACACACAGCTCATGACCCTCACTGGGCAGGTCTGTTCTGCAATAGCTTTTTGTGGTGAAACAGCCTAGCGAGGACGGACAGCCGACAAAGATGTGCATCCATACATTTTACCAATGCAGGCTATGCTATATACACTATTCAGGCATGGGGAAGTCAAATAATTAAACTAATTAAAGCACAGCCACAAACCATCTGTTTCCACAGCTAAATGAGATGCAAATGTGTACTGTACAGCACCAAACATTACAGAAAAGCAATTCTAAACTGTATTAGAAATGTGGCTGTTGAACGGCATATGCTCCGCTTCTGAAACATTTCCTGAGGACACTGAAACAGCGATGACGCAAGCTGCTGGATCCTGTGGACATTGAGTTTACTGACTTCACTGACTTTAAAGAGATCTAAGACCCTGCTCGAAAATCTGCCAGAGGTCTGACAGACAAGAAAGATAAACACTGTTAAAAAATAAAACGAAAGACGTAA